CTCATACATAGGATTACGGCATGGGTTTAGTTTGAGCGAAGTGAAGAACACCGATTACACAGCAGCCATTTAGCGCTCGGGAAAAGCAAGGCAGGCAGACAGACAGAAACAACAGAAGGAAAATTAAAGAAGTGGACCTATCAGTGGAACCCTCCGACTATCCATACGGCATTGAAGTACATGTACATTATAATACACTTATATAATATGTAAGCTGTTGTCTAGACGATGTTATTCCCCAACTTAGATCGAGTTACATACGATCTTGGTGTACCGTGGGCAATGGTTTAAGAGAAAAAAAATAGTCACAGTTTCGTAAGAATTTTACGGCGCTTGCAACACAATTAGGTCATATATGTGTCGACGATCAGAGGTGTTCCTAGATAGAAACATACAATTAATTAAGTAAGGAGGAAAGATAAGGACGATAGATGTTTGATAGAAAAGAAGGAGCAAACCACAACAGAGCACCCACAAAGCAACCGCTGTGACAGCTTCAAATTTAGCACAAGCGTGATTTGCAGTAAAACATCTATTTGGAGTATTAACTTTCACCACAACCACCTGAAAAGACAGACATACGGGTGATTAGCGTCAGTGGGGTAACGTTCCTTTTTCAGAGTTAGCATGAAAAAGATAATTATGAGTTTTCAGCTTTTGTATGAGTTTTATGGCACATTAAGGTCATATAAGTACCACCGATTAGAGGTGTTACAAGAGAGTAACAAACACAAAAAGGAGGGGAGATAAGGAAGACCGATGTTTGATAGGAAAGAAAGAGCAAACCACAGCACCCACTAACCTCCCAGCATGTAGGTTCGAATCGCACGTGAGCAACACTGTATTTTATCAAGTACCACTGTCTTTCTTTTGGGAATACATGTATGGCAGCGGCTATTCGGACTCAAACTCCAATGCTTGTACCGGAAGTGAAGCAGACAGGTACGTCGACCTTGGTCTACCTCGGCTTCTACAATCTGGCCAAAATTTTCGACGCAAATTAATTATTAGTGACATCAAAAGTGAACAACAGTTGCAAAATCTGAAATACTACACAACAAATGCAAACTTTTAGTTTTAGTAGATGTTTTAGGCGCTCGCAACTGCATAAGGTCATATGAGCGTCAAGGGGTGGATGTCAACATAGAAGTCCTTACTCTGCTCACCTCTCTAGCTTCAACAGCACAAAGTGTGCTTCGACTATCAGGGCACCCCGGATATAGCTGGTCACAAGAGGGTGACAAACATACAAAAGAAGTAGAGGAAATGACGATAGTAAGGATTAGGAAAGAAAAAGCAGCAGTTCCCTGTTGCAGGTCAGGCTCAGGTTTGAGCATGACATCGATGAATCAGCCCATTTACAAATAGAATTCTACTGTGCATAAGAACTCGAGATGTTAATGTCCCCCTAAAGACACTTCAGTCAGTAGCACCGCCCCAGGAGGTAAATCAAAGTTTCAGAACAACAAAGGATTATAACGATCAATAGGTAGTCTAAACACGCTTTATTCGACGAGAAAGACCAAATCATTGATCAATTGGAAGTCCAGTTAGAAATTAAGAAGAGAAAAGTTAAGTACATGATTACCATACAATCCGGGTTTGTTCGGTCGACTTGATCAAAGCCTCCTGCCTTCTAAAAGACTTAAATTGTGTCCAAGGAAGGGGGGGGGGGGGTGTAACACTTGCCATAAAATAACGACAGAGTATTGACGAATACATCAACAACAACAACAACAACAACAAAAAGAAAATAAAGGGGGGGGGGGGAGAGAGTGTCTCTCATGTTCGAGAGGTTACGGTGTTCGTTTCTCATTCAATAGGTCCTGTATTCGAATCCGGATAGCGCAGGAATATTTCTGTTCTCTTACAATGTTCAGTCATCTGTTTTCGTCTGAACTTTCTGCCCCCTCCCCTCACCTTCTTTGCTCCCTCCTCTGGGCTCTTGACTCTGCAGCCTTTTTTTTCCTTCTGCTACTCCTTGGCTTCTTCTTACTGTTGTCTTATGGAAGGTAAGATCTACGCCTAGCCTTCTCGGAAGAGGGCCAAAAACCTCGAGGTCCCGTGTGCAAGTTGCGCACGTTAAAGATCCCTATGTGGTCCAAAATCGATAAGAGTAGGTTTCGCCACCACCCGGGCAAAATTCAAAATTAATCCCTACCAAAACTAAAAATGTTTCATGTTTCCCGCGCGCTCATATGACCGTATGCAGTTGTGAGCGCCGTAAAACACTTTTAAAAAGCCTTATAACAAACAAAAAACGCAATGCCACTAATAAGGTAGAGCTTGGACGTAGGCATTTTGTACTAAATAGACAACGTCAAGGTAGTGTTAGGATCCACAGTGAGACGGAAAAAATATAGATACGCTTTTCTACTCTTTGACCTCACGTTCTTTACATAAAAGTGACAGCGTAAAAAAAGGAATTTAAAATGCAGAATCAGATAATCAACACCCTTCCCAGAAAGGACAGAGTGAAAAAGTTGAGAGCTGCATAGTTTTTCCAAAATACACTTCAGACAACATAAAAAAAAACAACAACCAATGACTGCATTAACATATTTCAGAACAACGCCCGTGATAACAATCACCCTAATCGATATCGCTTTCCATGGCTATCCTCAAGGCAACCTGGCGATACGCAAACACCACGTCGAGTTCACTGTACGTTTTACTCCAGATCTTAATGGGTTGTACTTTAGGGAAAACCAGTACACCAAACGTACACCTTTTGCCACAGTTGGACTTGTAGTTGTTATGCAAATTCTTCTTTGAGACGCATTCTGCGTCTTTTGCCAAGGCTGATGTCTGGAAACAGATTGGTGTTTACATTTTACAATTTTATTTTTTGGGAGGGGAGAGGGGGTAAGGAGGAAGGGGGGGGGGGAGGTAAAGAGAAGAAGGCCGAAACAATAACCGCCATTTATTTCAAAGAAAAAAGATAGGCCGACAGAAACAACAAATGGAAAAAAAAGAGATAAAACATACAAGTTGCGCCTCACCCCCCCCCCTTTTCAACACCCCCAGGACTATAAGAGGAGCAGACTGGAACAATAGCTATGCAGGGAAGTAGTACTTTTAGTATACCAACCACCTTCCTATCTACACTTATATTCATATTAATTTTAATGTCAATTTCTACACCCCAATCGATAACAATTTAAATCATTCAGGAGGAGGCGAGCTACTTCGACATGGCAAGTCAGTTCAACCCTACTTGAGTGGGATACCACATCGAAGAAAAGGTGCTCGCTTCCTTGGCGACAATTTCCGTTGTACGCTACCCATTCTGTCGTTTGTTCGTTGTTCCCACCCCGACTCTTTATCCGAGTAAAGGACATGCCATGTTATATTTTGTGTTTAATTAAAATCAGTGAATGGAACTGGGAAGTTTTTATTGTCACGAAGCTTTTAAAAAGATTTATTTGGTGAAGTGATCAAAAGCTAAGTTGCGATGGCTAATATGCCAAGCAAAACTATGTTAACCACTTTTGGCGTTATCATCATCATCATCATCATCATCATTATTATTATTATTATTATTATTATTATTATTATTATTATTATTATTATTATTATTATTATCATTCAAATTAAAAAAAAAAGGTTCCAAGATGCTAACGTTCTACAAGTCAGGGCACTCCTATGATTTTAAACATGACAGAGAATCGGTGATATATTCTTATTGCTGCTGTAGTTGATGCTGCTACTGATGATGACGATAATGATGATAATGACCAAAATGATGCTGCTTCTGCTGCTGCTGTTGCTGCTGGTGATGATTTTCGCAAGCATAATTGTGCATAATGCTATATGTGAACGTACAACTTGTTTCCATTGCATTATTACTGTTTTTCTGTTTTTTAAATTACATTCCCGAAGAACCCAATGAAGGCCAAACCTTGAACGCATTTTATATCGTATACTCAAGTCTCCACCAATTACTTGTTTCTTATTGTGCTTCCTACAATGACCATGATAATAACGATCGATGACGATAAGGATGATGATGACAGTGACGATGAAGATGATGATGATGGATATGATACGATGATGGTGAGGATGGCGATAAAGATGGTGATGATGACAATGATGACGGGTGTGGAAGGTGGGGGAGGAGATTAAAATGTTTTTTCGTTATACAGCAACGGCAAATGAGAACATGAACACGTGAACAAATGCGCACCTTTAGGAAACATAGTACGAGACATACGTCAGCCGTTTACGTCTTTCGTGCCCTCAGCTTTGTTACAACGCTAAACGACTACCGTGGCACGCAGGGGGCAAACATTTTCATTAGTTGAAACGATAATGAAAAAGTGACACTGCTTCGTCAATCACATCAGCAAACCGCTTTGCAGTACAGACTATTATGCAGAAGGCCATGGGCGTTAACTGCTGCTTGACGTCATAAACAACTGCTTTATGATCGCCTCTGCCAAGCACCAACCCCTCCCCAAACCCCTCTCTTAAAAAAAAAACCCCAACCAACAATTAATTGAGAACAACAAATGAAGAAAAAAATATTTTTTTAAATTGGGTAAAGAAAGATATAAAAAAGAATTACATTATTTTTTTTCTCTTTCCTGAAAACAGAAACCCAATTGCTTTCAAGGGTAGAGCATTTTAACAGCCTGCCGTTGATAGCCATAACGTCATACTAATGCATTTGCCAAGCATGAAGTGTGGGACATTCCACCTGAACGCGAGAAGAAAAAAACAACAACTACACTGACCCTTAGCACGACGGACGAGTGGCAAAAGGGAAAGGCGACAACTCGATGATGATCCTCACTTCCTTCCTTCCTCCGTTCTCTCGTTCCTCTCCTCCCGTTCGCTCACACCACCAGCCGGCCAGCGCCACTTTTCTCACGGCACGTGTAAACGTCATCGCTGGCAGACCCGGCACCTTCGAGAAAAGGCGGGAACCCGGGCGGAAAAGCAAGTGCCGGGGTGACGCAGGGCCGCTTGGCGCCGACTCTCTCGACCGCAGCAGTATAAAAGTTTGGTTGTTTGAGAGACTCATTCATTCCAGAAACTTCACTAAAAACAGAAACTTAATCGGCCAGAACAGAAAGTAGTAGTTAGACGCCAGGAACACTTATAACAGAAACAGAGCAACGTTTTCGGAAAAGGGTAAGGCCTTTTTTCTTACTTATCTTGTTGTATGTTGGCAGAGTCGTTTGAAATACTGATTAACCCCCCCCCCCCCGGCTAATTTGTACGCTTGGTGCTATCAACATGTACTTTGGTTTCCACATTAAGCATTCTTAAGATAGTTAAATAGGATCTCTGATACATGTTTACTGTTGTATGAGCATAATACATTGCTATAGATATACACACATAGGTCAATATTTAGAGGAATTCATCTCTCCACTAATGTGTGAAAACGGTTTAAGCTTCCCAAAACAAGACCCTCAGAAAGACATACAGGCAGAAGATATAGTAATTACAAAGAAAATATGTCGTAGCTACAATACCAGCGCCGGTAGCAATCAGTGCCACCCAACTAGCACCTTTAACGCCCTGTTTTGGGCAGATCTTCATTTCTGGGGTAATTCCGAAGACGACACATTGCAACAAACCTACATCCTGATTTCAAAAAGCAAACCAAAATAAAAAACACCTTCCAAAACACACACACACACACACACACACACACACACACACACACACACACACACACATACAATACGCTAATCATTTCTGCAGATACTTACGCAAGGACTATGCATGTTAAGATTTTTTTTCGCACATAAAAAACAAACAAAACACGATTACATTAAATTGCCTTTCATGTTGTTTCCTTAGCTTAGTAAGCTACTGTTCAAAGTTCAGGAACACACAGGTTAAAAATGCACATTGTGCGCACCGAAAATTCCAAATCTTAACTCTGGGAAACGTTTGTAATTGCCATACATAACAAATGCGCAGCAAGGGAAAAGAAGACACTTGAGCACATAGCTTTGGATAGAAAGTATAAAGGTTTTAGAAATTTGAATAGACACAGGAAAACACTCGCCGTATCGAGTAACGTCGCGTAGTTTATCTAATTAGATCCGCTTTGTGTAGACTGAACTAACAATATTCAGGGTTCACAGGACCAAAAAACAAACAAACCAGCCTTTAAAATAACATACAAAGTTTTTACAAAGACTGCAGTGGTGCATTTTTGGTAGTTCGTCCTTCTTTGACAGTGTTATTGGTTTCTTGTGTCACGTTTAATTGCTAAATGACACATTTTGATTATTCAAGAAGGGGACTTTTTGGTTGCTTTTTTCGGGGGGTGGGGGGAGGGGGTGGGGTGATTCAAAACAAGTAAATGATAAAAAGAGTTAACAGAGCGGTACAATTTCCGGAACATTTTTTTTTCAGTTATGGAAATTTTTAGGGCAGCAAAGCTAGGACCGACAGTCAGGAGGAAACGTGTAACGCCGACTCTTCGAAAAATCGCGTGTAAAACAGACAAGTTTTACCGAAAAAAGGAAAAAAAACCCGAAAAAAAACGGTTGCATTGTTGGAAAAAATGACTTCCCCAATTCTAACCTTGTTGTATTGCTCTTCAAGTTAAAAATGTGAAAGACGGACATTAAAAGTGCACGGATAAGAGTAGAAAAAGAACGCTTCTTCATTGCATGACATTACTGGCCATTAAAACATGTCTAAACAATAGGTAGCAAGCACCCGCTGACAATGTATTAGGTCGCGCTAAGTAAAAAGTAAGAAAAAAGAGACGGCACAAAACAGAGACCTTTACAATCGATACGTTGCGCAGGAAAGGAATACAAAAATAAAGAAAGGTTGAGACTGAAAAAAAAGAGGGAAAACGTTTTTAAAAAGTTAAGGAATGCATAACAAGACGCATGGCACGCGCCACTAGTGCCATAAAATGCATTGCCAAAACAGTGACCACGTTTATCCCGCGCACTGACATTGTGCAAAGTCACGGTGATATTATTTCTCAACGCATTTCTTTAAACCTTTCAGGACGTAGTGTGCACATATGTCCGGTCAGCAGCAGACCAAAAGGCAATGTCGCGCCACACGTCCAGCCATCGTTCACTAGTCGGAATCACAAATTCGCATATTTCATAATATGCACGTTGTTGCTGGTCTCTTTAAGTTTCAGATAAAGATTTTTAAAAAACCCCAAAAGCTCTATGAATTGATATAGAACTTCTTATTCTAAAAACATAGTTTTCAAGCGTTGTCGAATGACCAAAATGCATGACCTCAAAGAGTTCAAGAGGGCAAGGCGTTGCATAAAAGACCCGAAAGGGTGTTTTTGTTAGTTTCATGAATAGAAGCACACTGACAAAATAATGGTCATCTAGTGCTGGGAAACAGTGAGACTGACAGACAAAAACAATGGTGGGATAACGACATACTAGGACCCTCTGTAACTAGTGGCGCCCTCCAAACACTGGCTCCAAAAGGCTCGAACGATTTAATAATGCACAATACACACATAAGAACATAATTATTTATTTGCAGGATACGCAGATATTGGTATAACGTGTTAGCCCCTATAAGCAATCGTCAGTTAAAAAAAGACAGAATACAAGAAAAGGTGACAAGATTGAAGAAGAGAAGTGGAAAAATTTATTGAATATGAATAACTTGTCGCAAGAAAGAACACAAAGTTAGGAATATTAAGAAGGGCATATTATATTTTAAATGAAATATTGGTGTTTTTACGTCCCCTTCGACAAAATCTGTACCAGACACTGCCTGTCAGGACCAGTTCGGGCTGAGAGGGATGCAAGATCCTACAAGAAAGACCGACATACTCCAAAACCAATTCTCCCCCACACGGGAATCGCATTCGAGTCTTCTGTGCGCGACAGCGAAGCGCGCCTAATCGCTACACCACAGACGCCGATATGTTAATAAAGTGATCCTGGTTTCTGTACAACGATAAAAAAAGGAAACCCACATACACTTAATACCGTATGCGATCATGGCCATGTTTTACACTCTTTTCAATAAAGATTGGTAATCTAAGAAACGGCACCAATGATTAAACGTCCGACTGCCTGCAAATAGAAATGAGCCAATTTTTACAGCGCAATGAAAAGCCCGTGAATAGAATCCCGAGGGGTTCCTGAAAAGAAAAGTCAGAATTTTGAATTCACTATTCAGAAAAAAGAGATAAAAAATACTTGCATCTGGAAATAGTGGGTGGGCAAATTTGAATTTGAATCATGCTTGGCTGTTTCTGACCATCGGCACCTCGGAGACTTGTTCAGCCAGAGAGGGTACAGGGGCATGATGCATTCATTAGTCCACGGACCCACAAACAGAGGCAACGTGAAAAAGCACTGGCTGGGTGCCTATTTTACGGCACGAATCCTCGGCATTAAGAGTGGAGCCCTAATATTTCATTCATTTCGTCTTCTGCACAGCTACCATCTGTGATGACCGGGACTTTTCAAAGTATCTCTTCCCCCCCCCCCCCCTCTCTCACCAGCGGTTGTCTATATGAGCAGAGTTTATCTCTGAAATATCTTACACCGTATAAAGGGTTAGACCCAAGTTTACTGCGCCGAGTAGAGTGATGAGCTACAGCATCTGTTACAACAAACAAACCACCAACAAGAAAGTGTTATACTCCCCGAGCAACCTTCACAAAAAGAAGAACAAGTCACATTACACATCTATCGCATATGTTCCATATTAAATCAAACGATCGTGCTTCTCATAGAAACGTTGGCTGGACTAATTTGGTGTTCTTGAAATTTGAATGTCTAGGGCCAAATGACATAGTACAGGTTATCATGCTCTCTTCGCTCCCCCCCCCCCCCCCCCATCCTTTCACTCTCTGCTATCTCTTTATCTCTCCCTCCACCCCCTCTCTCCCAGTCACTGTTAGGTTGAAGACTACCTGCTTAGTCTGCAAGAGAAAGCTCAAATTTCGAATCAAGAAGGGGTCCAAAATAATGTTCTTGTCTATTCTGGAACCAACTCCCTCAGCCCGGCCCCCAGACCGAGGTCTAAGTGCCTCACCTTCCAAACAGCCGTCTAAAAATATATTTTGAAAATGTACGTTTTTTTAAAGCCCACATCGAAACAATTTCGATGATTTACGAGGCGCCCTTCGACAGTGTCAAATTGGGATGAGAGGGATATAACGTCCCAGCAGAAAGACAGAGAAACTAGAAGTTAAAAATATTCTCCTCACGCAATAATCGAACTCGGGTCTCCTGTATTTGACGGCCAAACACCTGACTGCTACGCTACAGACGCTGGTTTATTGTGTCTGGAAGAACATTTAGCTGAGACAACAACAACACCGATCTCTCGTAATGTCTCTGTCGTGCACACGCATGTTTTCTATCCTGGACGTTTATCGGCTGTCCTTAAATGTTTTTCAACAACGCATTATATTTCATTTACTCGTTGTTCCATTTAACAAAGCAATCGGCAACAAAGGGCAAATAAAGAAAAAGAAATACAAGAGCACCAGAAAGTAAAATACACTTCATTTTGAGAAGAAATGGTTTTGTATTCATTTGTTTCAGTAACGAGAAGCCGGTCATTTAGTGCATGGAAAAGGCAAGCCAGAGATACCATAGCGATGAACAAGGCTAAAACAGCCAACCTTACAAGAGAATGTCAAATCATCTATCTAATCCCTTCCAGTCTTAGAGAAATTACATGGAGCAAATTCGACCCCTACAATTTGTTTGACATTTTCATTTTCATAAAAGCGTCCTGCCCATTTTCGAAGCACATAGAGAACAGATAAAGATAACTGCATCGACTCAATCGAGGTCATTTGGTGCAGGGGAAAAGTAAGAAAGACAAACAGAAACAATGAAAAGTGAAAAAAGTATGACCTAACACAGGCATCCCCTCCCCAACCCCAAACCCCCTACCTGACAAAGACAAATGCAGGTAAAAGTGTACACAATCCTTCAATTAATGCACATCGTGTAAAATAAAGTCAGAATGTTATCCGGAACTAGATAACGGCCACAACTTTCAGAGTCCAAATTGGAGCATGCAAATCTCAAAATGAAGTTGGACATTCAATAAAAATAGCACAAGAAACATGACAGAAAGGTCAGGGTGGGGTGGACAAACCTACAAACTCCCCAGACAGCATGGAAGAACCTCCCCTCTCCCCCATCTCGCCCCCGCAAGCCCACACACTAAAGCAACACAATACAAACATACAGAAATAAAGGGAAAAAATAAAATAAAACAGCCCACCAATTCGGGATGTGGGGATCTAACACCCCTTTTCAGGCATTTCAACTTGGGTGGCTGCCATATTATTCAAGAAAAGGACTGCCCTACGTACGAACTTAGAAACCGGAGCTCTGTGAATTATGAAGAAATCGAGAAGAGAGATATGAATCACAAAGGGTTTTCTATTTCAAACCGCATCAGACATCTAGAATTTCAAAGGAAGATCGGATAACGTACTCCGCTGACGGGAGTTGGGCGAAAATCTCGAGGGACGGATTTACGAAAATTAGATTCTTGAATGACACTACAGAAAAAAAGACACAATTTCTACTGTTACACCACTGATTAAATCTTCGTTTAAAAAAATATTTTTTTCCTTCGCCCTCAAGATTAAGGAGCTGGTATTGTTCGATGCAGCTATTGTATCAAACACTGCCCATCCCTTATGAATCATCACTCAATCCAAAACAAAACGTAAGGGCCACAAAACGCGTGAAAATGCACCTAAATACGTGTAATTCTGGTTATAAACGAACCGGGAAAAAAGAATGACAGATGTCTTATTTGCGTTTAAAAGACGCCGAAAAGATTCCAGATTATGACAGAACGGGGGACAATCGCGCCACAGAAAGAATACATGATCTTATTCACTTAATGGGTAGAAGAAAAGGCATAAATCATAAACCATGAAACATAGCCAACAATATGTACTCAAAAAGCGAACGTGTGTGGGTGTACAATGATTTCGGGTTGGAACAAATTAAACGAAAAACGAGTGGGTGGGTTGTGAAATAAAATGCTTCAGAGAAAAGAACTTCCACTGTTTCGGCAGAAGTCTTTCATAAGAGAAAAAAAGAAGCTCGTGATGAATCTTTTCGATGACGTGAAAACAAAAGTCACCAATATGAACTGGGCTACATTTTGATGTTTGCGCACTCATTTACATACCGCTATCTTAGAATACAAAGTTCTATCTGAATTTTTTTTTCCGTTTTGGATTACTAAGACCATGAGGTCAGAAACCAAATATCCTATCTGCTCAATCAATATCCTAAGATAATTCGGAGTCGTTATCCAGATATTCAAAGAATTGCATTCGAAAAAGTTTGACATGTGAAACTCGAAATTTTTTTAACGTCAAATTTCTCAAAACTTGGTACTGAGCAGATAGAACTTTGTAATTCTAGGGTAGTAAATTGTCGAACTCAAGACAGCAATTAAGACATCCAAACACAGAACACCCCTAATGAGGAGCCCCATATCAACGAAGGTCAGTGCGACTAAAACCTGGCTTCTAACCAAGGACTCGAGTAAGCCTACAGAATACAAGGACGTTTACCAATTACAGAACTCATTAAGTCCCCACTCTTTCACTTTGTCGAGATAGATAGATAGATAGATAGATAGATAGATAGATAGATAGATAGATAGATAGATAGATAGATAGATAGATAGATAGATAGATAGATAGATAA